TTTGATCCGTTAAAATCAAACTGTACGAATATCTCGTGTTGGTTAAACTAAGAATGCGCATTTTTCAAAAGATTTCTTAGGCACTCTTTTTTTGTCAACCACATTAATTTTTTAACAACAATTTCAAGGACCATGGCCTTCAAATAATAGTTGCGCCAAATAATTCAATAAATCTTTCTTGTTTACAACATACATTGTTACTTGTTTTAGATTGAGCTTTTTTTATTAGTAAGTAGGCCATAATTTTATTTATTTTTTCTTTTCGGTTTCCTAAGAGCATCTGCAATGCTTTAGGTCTAGTTTTGTCTATGTGGAATGTAAATGAACCTAAGTTTTGGATGACATGGACAAAAATATATAAAATTAACAAAATATACTCCAATGCAAGGAGACTAGGTCTCTACTTGGGTCTAAGAGCAACCACAATGCTTTGGGTTTCTTAGAAAAAAGTTACATGTCATGTAAGGAATAGACCTAGTCTATAAAAAAGTGTTCTCCAATGCAATTAAAAGTGGAACTAGTCTAGCTTATGTGGCAATAAAAAAATGAGACCTAGTCCACACTTGGGTCTATTTTAGACCCAAGTACAAACCCAAGCACTCATCATTTATTCCTCATTTAATTTTTCTTTTAATAAATGAAATATACTAGAGCATTTTTATTGGTTGTCATGTATTCTAGACCTAGTACTTTTTGGTTTTGCATTGGATAGATTTTGGTTTTTTTAGTTTAGGTTTGTCCATGTCATTATGGACTTAAGTTTATTTATTTGCCACATATGCAAAAAGAGACCCAAAGCATTGTGGATGCTCTAAAATGGACTTAAGGTTAGACCGGGTCTCCTTTTCTTGCTGCCACATCAGCAAGACCTATTCCACTTACACTTGCATTGGAGAACATATTTTTTTAGACCGAGTCTATTTCCGAGGTGGCATTCAATTTTTTTGATTGAACTCAAAGCATTGTGGATGCTCTAAGGTGCAATAATGTGCCATTAACATACAATTGCATAATTATGAGATTATTTATTTACTAGTTCTAGAAGCAAATTTGTCTTACCAATAATTTTCCTATTTTATTTTTCATTTATTTTCCTTTAATCATAACTATTTCCATTTTATAATATTTCTCCTTCGTGTGAATTAGTGGGTAGGTGGACTAGAAATGAATCACACCTACGTGGGTTGATTCAAATGTGGGCCATCAGGCCCACTACTATGCATCTTATTTTACTTTGACAGTTCACATATCACGTGCCCATTGATTAATTTCATTTGATTTTCTTCTGTTTAATATAATGACTCTAGTGTTAGTTGGAAGCCTGTCCATATTGTAATTAAATATTTACATTGCATCTTGTATAATTTATGTGTATCCATTTGGGATTACAGAGTCACATTTTGAAACTTTTTTAAATTTTAGATTTTTTATGAGGATGTATTTAATTAGAATTTTTATAAAAAAAAAAAAAAAAAAAAAATCTTACAGTCATGAGATATTTAACTTATTTAACACTAATATTTGTTAAAAAATTTTAAGATTTGATAAGATTATTAAAGAAAAACTTTATACGAAATCTTACCTAAAATTTCACATGATTTGACAGATTGGATGAGATTTCTAAAGAAAAACCTTAGACGAAATCTCACCTCTATACGTGTTCTAAAAGTCGCTAGGCGCCCGCTAGGCGCTCGACCAGCGCCTAGCGCCTAGAGCGCCTAGTCGGGGCCTAGGCGGGGCCTAGTCGGGGCCTAGAAATCAATATTAAATACCTTATTTTTTATTTAGTTTGACTACCTACAAAATAAAACTATCTCAACTTATAATAAATCGACACACCTAAGTCCAAATAATAAAATTAATATATTTTAAAGAAAACATGAGAATAAAATAATGTAATTAATATTTAAAAAATTTAAAAAAAATTAAAAAAAAACTGAAAAATTGCCGCCGAGCCCGCCTAGGAGCGCCTAGGTCCGCCTATTCCCGCCTAGGCGCCGCCTAACCGCCTGACCGCCGCGCCCGCCAAGGGCGCCTAGGAGCGCCTAGGGCTGCCTAGGCCCGCCTAGGCGCCGCCTAGCCGCCTGACCGATTTTTTCTGCCGATTTGTGCAAATCGGAGGCGCCCGGGCACTGCCTAGCGCCTAGGCGTCGCCTAGGCGGCCGCCTAGGCCGATTTTTAGAACAGCTTAAAATTTCACAGGATACATCCAAAATCTGCAAATATTATGGAGTGTATTCAATTAACACGAACGAATACTTCAAGACTTTTAAAAAGTATTAAAAAGTTTAGAAATTTCGCCAATTCTTTAAAAAATTTAATAGTTCCCAGTATCAACTAAGCTAAATACTTTCAAATTTTGTAATAATTTTTAAAATTTTAAATGAATACCTCAAGACTTTTAAAAGTCTTAAAAAGTCTAAATTAATACCAACATGATTTATAAATTCTTGAAAAGTCTTTAGAAGTTCAAATTCAATACGCCCCTTAATATAGTTTAGTTTGACTACAGTTTATACAATTTGCAAATTATGTAACCTCTTAAAGCATTTTTTTTTTGTTTTTTTATTTATTTATTTTTTTAACCTCTTAAAGCTATATTAACTTGAGTCAAGTTAGAATATATATAGAATTGTGTGCTAATTAGAATGGATGGTGTATCAAATTATTTTTATTAGTATTGTTATTATTTATTTATTTATTTATTTATTTTTTGCTTTCTATAAAGTGGTCTGATATTTTAACTTTTTCCAAAATAATATTTCCATTGAAAGTAAATTGAACTAACTTGCTTTGATGTAAAGTAGTGTCAAGCATGGTGTGTTTTGTCCTTGTCACATACCTAGTATGTGTTTTATGGGACCAAATATTAACTTATTATTAAAAGTGTATTTAAAAGTTCATGAATTTTATATTTCAAGCTTACAACTTAATTTTGTAGCCTCATTAGCTTAATCATTGTCTAGTGTGTCTTGTCTTGTAAGATGAGATTGCATTCAGCTTCCTTATGATATAATTTTAAACGAGTATAAAAATTGAAACTTTAATATGAATTCTTTTGCATTTAGTGTGGAAGATTTTGTGTTTGAAGCCAAAGTTAATTTTAGCTAAATAACTAGCTTGATATGTAATCAAAATGTCGTTTAAGGTATGATTGGATATGAATTTGATTGGTTTTTAACTATTTTTTTTTCTAAGTATAGTTAATTTTGAAAAATGTGGTATGGTTAGTTGTTAGTGGAAATTTAAATTTTAAACTAAAATAATATTTAAAATAAAATAATAAAGTTGATTTGATATAAAAGTATGAGAAAAATATTTGGAAGTGATTGTTTAAAATAATGTGAGTAAATGAATAGTAAATTGAAATAGACGTGAGGTGTAAAATGATTGATTGATATTATTTAATTTTATTGATAACATAGAGAACAGTGAAGTTGAGTTAATGATGAGTCAAAAATGAGTATTATTGAATTTTTTTCTAGTGAAATTTATATCCAATGACACCCTTACAAGTTTAGATTATTAAATATAGATGTTTCAATACCCATTCAAACAATTAATATCAGCACAACAAGAAAAAAAAAAAACAAAAAGAAAAATGAAAGAAATCAATTGATTTAACAGAATGGATAAGTGAGGTTTGGGGGGCTTATTCCCGCCGGAGAAAATAAATGGGGAGGGGGACAAATCCCCTACAAGTCAATAGTACTACAAGTTCATAGTGTTCGGTTTTTTTCTATTCCTCGTATTGCGCTTGATTCGCTGCTTTTTTTTCAAAAGAGTTGGTGTAAGTCGAGGGGCAAGGGGGTGAAACAAAGGGGGAGGGGAAAGCGATGATTGGTTTTTTACGATATAGAGCGACAATGAATTCATCTTCAAATTCAGAAATGGGAAGAGAGTGGTTTGGAGAGTCCGACTCAGAATCTGAGCAAGACCCAATGATCACTGAGTTGGGATTAGGTGAACTGGACTCCAAAGAGTCAGACACATTGCTCGGTCCCACCTCAGGGAAAGTAGAAAGGGATAAGAATTTAGACCGAGGAAGGAACCGAACCTTGTAACGACGATTTGGATAGAGCTTGGCCAAGTGGGAGTGTCGATTCCATAAGAGTCGGGTCCGGGGTTGAAGGAATAAATTCCTGAAGGTAATATAAAGCCAACAACCAAATTGGTATAGTGCAATTACGCAGTAACTAAATGTTACATAAACATATTAACAATAAAACAAACCATAGTCATTTTAAGTTTTTTTTTTACACGACTCACCTAAATGAGCCGATCCAGTTCTAACTTCTAGTACTCAAACTCTAAGTCGTTAACGAAACGAGTAAACGAGTTCGAGTTTGACTCACTTACCAAACGAATTAAATCGAACTCAAGCCTTTGAACTGCTAGTTTCGATGTACGATTCTTATCAACACTAGAATTATAATAAATACTATAAGAGTATTTTTTTTTTTTTTTCACCATGAAGTAGCTCAAGATCAAGTTATATGAAAAATATAATTTTTTGAAGGTGCAAACTAGCAGAAATCTTGGACAAATATCCAGCAAAAAATACTCTAATAAAACACACAACAAAAAAATGCCCATCTTCAAACTAGGCCCATCATTGATAGCTGGTATCCGGACTTATATTTTTTCCTTTTTTTTTTTTTTTCTTTGTTTTCCCCCTCAATGTTCATCCTGGATTATCACACCTAAAAAAGAATCTTGCCCAGCAGCTCAAAGTCCCGTTTAGGTGCTACAACCACAGCTGAACAAGTGTCAATCAAACCTTCATTAGCTGGAACTGTTTGTCTATAATGCTAAAAGCTATACAGATTATTGGTTCTTCTTCTTCAGGGTGTTTTTCCCTTCCCCACAGATTCAAGCAGCCTTGTTCAAGAATTTCAATCATTTCGAGAAAACCAATCGAGCCCACAAATTTAACAAGTCCCAAGACTCGATCTTTGGCTTTTCAAATCCGTAAAATCACTCAATTTACAGCTTTCCAAATGTCCAACACCCGGTCCGAGTCGAGCCCAGATGGCGTTTTACCATCTTCATCATCATCCTCGTCTACAGCAGTTCAGACAACTGTGAGTATTGCCTATTTTCTGTTGGTTCTGTTTAATTTTGTCATTTTTTGTTTCCTAATGTTATTGAAAGTCTCATGGGTTGATGCAAGAAGATATTCGGTGGCTTTTTGAGTACACCAATTTGCAGGATCGTGTTTTAAATTTGTGTTCTTTGGTGTGCCTTTGTGCTTCATCTATCTAGTTCGTAAAGGGTGGCTTTGATTTTGAGTACACCAATTGTTGTTCTGGATATTTGGTCACTTGGTCTGTTGATTTACTGTGACTAGATGTTTGTAGCTTCTTCTTATTTTGCACACTGGGTTCTTTATGCCACTCGTTACTTGTCATTATCGATTTGATCCCTTGGGGGTGTAAATGTTTCATGTCAAGCCCCAATGGTACTTTAAATTCGCCCTCGTTGCTAAATTAAGTTTAATTCTGCTAGTTTGTTGCACTAAGAGCCATTGTTTTCCAACTTGTGGAAAGTTTGTCTTTTTCAAGTGATCACTGAATTCGACGACAACAGCTTACTAGACACAGCAATTACAACTGTGGTCTCTTATGGAAGGAGCTAACTTGTTCTTAATCGATCTTTAAGACAAACTTGGTGAAGAAGATCACTGTTTGTTGATTTCCCTCTTCTGCATTTATTTGTACAATTTATATTGCAAGACGGGCTCCATGGTGTATTGTACATTCTATACTGTTTCTTTCATTTCATCTGCGGGCCCTAATGGCTAAAATGTTTCAGGGCTTTAGTAGGAAAATCAATTTCTGCCAATGGTGTGGTGGCTCGACAAAGCATGAGATACCCGATGGGGAGGAAAAGGCAAGAGCCATTTGCACACTGTGTGGGAAAATCACTTATGAGAATCCAAAAATGGTGAGTGTTGCATGCTTAGCTGAAAATTTAATAAATTATATACATAAAAAATAAAAGAGTACGAGGCTTTTGCTTACTATTGCATGTTTTAGGTACAACAGCAGGGTAAACACTAACACTGAATGTTGAACAAGATTGAATTTAAGCATAAAGAAGTTTGTTGCATTTTACTT